CAAAGCGAGGGTGTTTCAAATGCCCCCTTAGCCCCATCCCCTTCTCTTTTGTTTTGGGTTTTAGTTTTACTTGCAGGAGCTTGTGTTCGTGGTTTAGATATGTTGGCTCTTCTCCACTAGTGTAGCGGTTTTGGTGGCAAATTTTGGTTTGGGCTTTTTCCTTGTTGCAAGTTTGTTTTGTTTTGCGTTGCGATACCTTCATCGAATTCAACGCGGAGTTGGGTTTCTTCGAACGACTATTTATGTGGTCGTTGGCGAGGTGATGGGTTGAGGATTAGGGCATTTTTATTTCCGCATTTTTGCTAATTGAAGTTTAGCTATCATCACCTTATTAGGCTAATTTGATGTACTTGTACTGGCATTCCTCTTTCATTGAAATTGCTTGGTTTATTTTCAACCAAAAAAAAAGAGAAAAGGGTAGTTATAGGATGCAACAATCCCAAACATTAGTACATTGTCACAATCAGACGCTCCCACACTTTTACAAATTTTAACGTTTATAAGATGAACTCGTATATGTATGCGTGGTAGAATGACCGTAATAATAAATTAAATATTATTATATAATAAGAGAGACTTGAGGCAGCATAGTTTCCGTTCCTTGGATCTCTCAAAAGAAAACCCACTTTTGAATTCTTTCTGCAATATTTCTGTCCGCTCCCTCAACGTAATAGTCTTGTAATCCCTAGGACGAGAATTCATTTCTTATCATCACATATCTCATATCTCTCAATATCTCATGGCACGTGAAATAATTAATTAATTGTTTATGAAATTAATGATGACTGTGATTTTGTTAGTTTAAGTAATCTAACTTTTTTTTTTTTTTTTTGAAAAAGATAAACTTTATTAAATATTCCGAACCAAAAGCATCCCACCAAAAAATAGCACCATGCAAAACAGCATGTGAAGCAACAGCGTGAGCAGCCACCATGGATGGTGATAGGAAAGCGGGTAAATTTTAATTTAAACGCTTACATCTTCAACTAGAATATTAAAAAATACTCAGAAACAAAAACATCCCACCAAAATATATCACCATGCAAAACGGCGCGTGAAGCAACAGCGTGAGCAGCCACCATGGATGGTGATGGAAAGCGGGTTCTCAGAACAAAGAGAGTTAAGCATGCATGATGCATGCACAAAATAAAATAAAACAAACAATGCTGCTGCTTTTCTTTTCTCTCGGTTCGTGCTTTGACTACCGGTTTTTTTGACTATTTGCATTGCTTTCCCCCTATGGTAATATGATACATTAGGCATTAGCCCTAGGATTTTGACATTTAGTGCCCATAACAATGGGCTAAAAACATTTAAACATGTAACACAATGAGTTCATGAAAAATACTACAAGAATATTTTCAAAGAAGATGTCTAAATAAACATTAACAGTTAAAAAATACAGCAACAGTGTTTTTCAACTAAAAAAAAACAAATCTAGTGTGGCATAACATAATTGACAACCTTCATCCTTACTAGAAAATTTGACAGGAGCTTCAAATCGAATATGTCAATTTAATAGTTTAATTTGACATATTGGATATAAAGCAAAACTTCAAAAAACATCAAAGTGCTACATAGGTTGTGAAATTTAAATCTGATGTTTAAAATTTGACATCTTTTTAGAGATTATCTAACCACCATAGCAATTCATCACTTGAATGATCTATTTTTTGCTATTTAACTTTGATCTATAAACTTATTACACTTATTTTTTTTAAATAAAAATACATATATATATATATATGACTTATCTGTACTTATTATATTAATCTTTTATTATAGTAATATGTAGCCTTTTTATTTTCTTTTTATAATAAACAAACTTATAAATGAAACACTATTACGTTAGTTGATAACTTTTACTTGAAATCAATATCTATTTGTGGCAATTTATTAATTTTTTCAGATCGCTAATAACAACTCTCTTTATCTCGACTTTAAGATGTCAAAAGGCCCAATCGGTAAAAAGTGAGATATTTTATGAGCAATTTGGATTAGGGAAGTTTTGATGCAGAAGCCAGCTTTTAAAATTTTGAGATTAAACATTCATGCATTTTAGAATTTTAATTAAACATCTTCCTACAATTTAGGTGTCACATGCATTAGAAGTAGTCTTTTTTATAATGTAAAATTACTCAACTTGCTATATATAAATATATACCTTTTAATTCATAGATAATACATCAAAACTCCTAAAATCTTGTAGATAAATATTGTAGAATTTAATTTCAATAAAAAGTCTTTCAAATTACACATGAACACAACTTGCCATTATATTTAATATAGAAAAAAAATTACATATAAAGTATACTTTTAACACTTAATTATATATTAAGACAACACGTTTTAAACATTTCAAAGAAATACACAAGTTAATAAACGTAGAAGATGATATCATTGACATTTTTTCTTTTCAGTTTAAGTGACCAAAATATCCTTTATAATGGAAAAGTCTTTTCACACTTCTATCTCCTTCATCTCTTGCTCTATTCTCTCTCTTTCCATAAATACTGTCCGATTTTTCCTTCTCTCTCTACTCATCTGCTAGACTACTTTTACGTTTTATCACCAGCAAATATTTTTCAAAAATTTATGCTTTGGCAAATAACAGTTCATATTTTTTTAGAAAACATTAATAACCTGATCGTGTTGAGGAATTTACGGTTGGACCGCTGCTTCTTCTTTTTATGGGACACGCGCTGCAACAGCAACATCCACCTTTTGCTATTACTTCTGCAGCTTCTATCATTCTTTTGTCTTGTATCGCATTCTTCATTCTTCTTTTTTCTTTTTATTTTTTTAAAGATAAACAAAAAAAAGAAATGATTTGTCTGATTGAATATAGAAAATAAGCCGTCCATTTTTCAGATATTTAATTTTCAAATAAATAGTTTTCATTTCATGGAAGTAGATTTGTGTAACATCTCACATCGTCCAGGGGAGTGATTCTTAAATGTATATTCTCATCCCTACCTAGCACGAGGCCTTTTGGGAGCTCACTGGCTTCGGGTTCCGTAGGAACTTCGAAGTTAAGCGAGTAGCGCGCGAGAGCAATCCCATGATAGGTGACCCACTGGGAAGTTGCTCGTGAGTTCCCAAAAACAAAACCATGAGGGAATGGTAAGCCCAAAACGGACAATATCGTGCTACGGTGGTAGAGCGAGCCCGAGAAGTGGCCCGTCCCGGGCCGAGATGTGACAATTTGTTTGAAATTATCATTAATTCTTTAATTAGTGTAGAGAAATTTGAAAGTAAATTACCCAAGAAAAACATTTGTAGTTTTTTTTCTATAAAGTTGTTTAATTCGTTTTAAGTCAGAATAAATTGCAGCTCATTTTTAGTTTATAGCATGAGTCCGTAGTTTTCTTGTGTTGTGAAAGTATAATTTGATTGATGACGGGTTGGACTAATATCATATATGTAGTTTTGTTGAAAATACACAAACTGATTCTACTACAACTATACCAAATGATTCTACGAAAAAAAGTATACAAAACTGATTATAAATGTATTTGAAATTGATTATGCAAAAATGGTTGTAAATAGGTTGAATTGATTCTACAACAATGATCGCAAACGGGTTGAATTGATTCTGCAGAAATGATCAAAGATGTAAAAATGGTTGAGCATGGGTTGAACTGATTTTGCAAAAATGGTCTAAGAAGGGTTGAACTGATTCTGCAACAATGGTCGAAGACGAGTTGAACTGATTCTGAAAAAATGATCAAAGACAGGTTGAACTGATTCGTTTAACTGATTCTGCAAAAATGATCAAAGATGGGTTGAACTAATTCTACAAAAATTGTTGAAAACGAAAAAATGGTCGATGATAGGTTGAACTGATTTTGCAAAAATTATCAAGGATGGGTTGAACTTATTCTACAACAATCGTAGACGACAGGTTGAACTGATTCTGCAAAAAAATGGTTGAAGACGGGTTGAACTGATTCTACAAAAATGGTCGAGGACATGTTGAACTAATTATGTAAAAAAGGTCGAAGACGGGGTTAAACTAAGTCCGCAAAAATAGTCGAAGATAGGTTGAACTGATTTTGCAAAAATGGTCGAATACGGGTTAAACTGATTCTGCAAAAATAGGCGAGGACATGTTGATTTATTCTAGTAAGAAATAATACAAACTGACTCTCCATATAGTTTCAAAACAGATTCTGCAGAAATAGTTGAGGATGGGTTGAGTTTATGAGACACATTAATTTTGTTGGAGTTATGAGGGTTAGGTTGCATTAACAGTCCTAATGCCTTAGAGGTATAGCTGATATTTTAAAATATTATTTCCATGTTTTTAGGCTGGGCTTTAATTGTTTTTATATTTTTGTCTCTCCTTGATATGTTTAAAAACTAATGGAGTTCCTTGAAATATAGTGAAAGTTTTGGTCTCTATATATAATGACACACCCCTACCCTGAATGTCTTCCTGGACTCCGAATCAAGTTGTGCTAGCCGATACTAAGAGAGTGACAAAACCATAAAGTATAGTGATGTGGAAAATGTAAGTAAATTTAAACCTAAAAGTGCTTAAGTTTAAGAGTGCGCTTGTCAAGCGGGAATGAACCAATTTCACACGTGATGTCAAAGTATAAGTAAGGCACAGTATAGTGGATTGAGAATTATAGCATCGAAGGTAATCTCCAATACCAAGATTTGCCCAAATCATCATTGACACGAAAGCTCAGCTACTAAAACCAAGAGGGGCGAAAAAAAAGGGTGAGTGAGTTCAAAAATAAAGCTTTGTAAAAACCTTTTCGAAAACATAATAACCCCTCGCTGTAAAACAAGTATAGTTTCCAAAATATGCATACTACGTATAGTAAGAAAATAGTTACTGTTGCCTGCAATATCTCAAGAATTCATTACGGCATAATATCTCGTAAATAAGTGCATGACGTCCATAATCATATAATCTCGCATAAGCAAACATATCATATCGAGTGCTCATCAACATATGCTGACACACAAGTTCATGTAGAGGCATTCTAACATGAACAGAACTGGGTGTAACAATGATATACGCTCTAGTACTACAATCATGTGAAAACTGGTGCTATGCACATCACAAACGAGTCCTAATTGCCTACAACAATCTAGGACAGGACTGGCACCTACAATGAATCCAAAGTGAGCGTACAGTGCAATATGCACATGCACGTGCAAGACTAGCCTTGGCCTGAGCGAGTACTAACACCAATGTAGCAAACGATGAGCAGATAACATAAATATAGTCATGCCACAGTAATTCGATAATTCATATTGACATAATAGTAATAAATACGATATTATTCATGGCCGTCATTAAAACCCCATAAAGTATGCACACTTGTGTATCCCGTAGGATTTCTGATAATTTCATAATTTTTCGTTATTTTGCTAATTCTTATAAGCATTAGTCTAATCTAGGCATGCGTAGGAAATTCATTTTCAAATGTATAATTGGAAACTAAATAAATATATAATATTTAAAAGTAAAGACCCACTCACAAATCATGTCATCGCGTCAAACCCGCCTTGTAGCATCGAGAGTCCTTGCGATGCGTTTAGCCTAGAAAAGAAACCATTTTTGTAAATACATAACATACTAATGTATAAATTCATTTTCGTACAAAGTATGGCTAATAAAAAAAACTATTTTAAAACTATCGAATTTTGAAAAACAGAGGGCAGATTCGGGTCTAGCACATCGAGAAACCTAAGAACCTCCAAATCTGCTTCTGCTTACACCTACGCGTTTGTAACGTCAAGTACTTCGAGAATATGATAAAATAATAGCTCATACGTGTCATGTAATGGCAGTCAACAAAAGTCAACAATCTTACCACTGGGGCGTTTTCATCAATTCACATTTTTTTTTAAATTTATAAAATCGTAGAATTAGGGACAGGTTGTCACAATCTACCCACCTTAAAAAATTTTCTTCCCCAAAATTTGAAATCCTTTGCTATACATAAAATAGTAAAAAGATAGAAGAAAAATATACGCAAAGAAGATATCCAGTTAGAGCAGTTGCATAAAAGAGAATGCCATTCCGTCGTGATCGAATTGCAATGATTCCTCTTTCTTGCCTCAGAACTCATACTTTCCTGCCATTCCGTCGTGATCGGATTGCAATGATTCCTCTTTCTTGCCTCAGAACTCATACTTTCCTTCTCCTTCAATACAATACTATAATATAATACTTCTTATAAAAACATAGAGTCAAAAGTATTATATATGTACACTAACTTCCTGTCAAAATAAATATATAATTTCATAAAGTTAAAATAATTGTATTGAAATTAAAACTGAACATAGAATATTTTTCACCTACGCACTCGTTGCGTCACGTACTCCGAAGATAAGTGTGTAATATCTTTAGGTTAAGCCCAAACCATAAATAAATAAAAATACTAGCTTAACGGACTTACTTGCCCACTTGCTTAACGAATCCAATGAATAAGTTATCGATATTACGGTCTGCAGCCCGTAATACCAACAATGCATTGTTGTCTCGATTATCACAAATTCACGAGGGTGCAATATCACCATATTGCCCCTCAACATACATATAAATCGTCTGATTAGCACCTTGACCGCGCTCAAGTACTACCTTCTCGGGCGACAACGCAACTAGCACACAATTTCCTAAATTGTAATCTCGATTATTCAAATACTTGTCCGTAATACTCCTCAGTCAATCATGTGCTATGCATGAAATCTTCATACAATGTCTCAAACAGTGTCATAACCAAAGTTGAAAATTGTAACCGTGGTTACACGCAACTCTAACAGAGATAGGTGTCAGTCATAATCATACTAAAACTGTAGAACGAATAAACGCAACATATCCACCAAGGTCTAGATAATTCGTTCTGACTGGCCGTTAGTCTGAGGGTGAAAAAGTGGTATTGAACATAAACTTAGTACACATAGTCTTCAAGAAGACTTCCCCAAACTTGGAAGTGAAACGCGCATCACAGTGAGATACAATAGTGACATGCACACCATGTAGCTGAACAATATGGTTCGCAACATCTCAATGAGTAGATTCATAGTGAATTTCTCTCGAATTTAACGAAAATTATGTCAAGAAGGCTAAAATAACACTGAAGAATTTGAGAGTCAAACAAGTCCATCAAATCTAGAATGCGAGGTAACTGGAGTGAATGCATGACATCTTGCTACAATAGTAGCTTCCAGAAGATTTAATCACCAATGGTAAATTTATTTAGTAGAGCATTTGTTGGTTGACTGAAGCGTTAATGTTCAAAACTAAAATTAGATGTCCAAGCAATTTTCCTAAATGATTTGTTTGCTTCAGAAGCAATACGAAGTTCAGTAGGGTATACATGTACTCAAGGTTGACTAGAATGCCTTCCGACATAGAGGGGGTGAATATGGAATCACAATCAGAGTAGATGCCGATCGAAACGTCAAAAAATCTAATAATTTCAAGAATGAGGAATTTTACCAAGTGGTCTAAACGTAGTCCCTCTGGACCAACAGAAGGTGAGTTGACTTGTCAAGTCGGTCAGTAATCATCGAACATTATCATATTCTTCACATGTACGAGATGCCTCGTACTAGAAGCTTATGGTGATATTTCCCCATCTCCATTTGAATGCAAGAAGTGATCATAACCACTCAAACGATTCTTGATCATTTGTAAGTAACGTCAAATCGATACTTGTGAATCCCAACTAGAATGGGATAGGACAACGTAAAGATGTTCAAGGGTAGATATGTCTTTTCCTGTTGTAATAGTAATTACGTCTGCACAACCGGAGTAATACATGATAGTGCAAGTGTAGACGTTGATCTGGTTCTTCCATCATCATTGTAAAAAATTTTGCTTATTTCAAATGAAGATGTATTTAAGAAAGTTAAGATTGGTAAAGATTTTTGAACACGTTTCTCCACAAAGGAATGTCATCCGGTTTTCAATTGAAGGTGACAACTGTTGACTCTAGGTCATGAATAAGATGGTTCATTTCAAACGGTTCTAAACGTTTATAAATATAAGCGATACTCCGTCATGCTACCTTTACACAGCCGAAACATCCAAAGAACACGAATCACAACTAAATTAACTTTCCTCGATCGACAAGTAAGGAAAAACGCTATAGCTGAGAAATCGTTAACAAACTGTCAATAAAATCGACAAGACCAAAGATATCTCGAATTTCACAACACTTTAAGAGAATTCCAACTTTCTTCTGCTATAACCTTTTGAGAAAACGAAAAGAATATTGTCTACTGAGATCACGTCTCCCAAGAAGAGTACCATTCTAAACAAAGGTAATATTTGAGGAATTTGGTATAAAGCTGACTAGCAATGTTTAGAAAATTTGCTCTTGTTGCTAGGGTAAGTGAGTAAGTCATTGGTTAGACCACTACGATTTCGACAGGCTACGGAAGAAAACTCGAGTTCCAAAAGTTGGTCAGGTAGACCATCAATTTGAAGTATGGGTTAATGGTTTTAATCATCACCTGATTGAGTTACTAAAATCTAAGCACGATCCTAACGTTTAATCTTTCGTCTTCGCGAACAGGTTTTGAGGTTCCCTAGATAAGGTGTTTGGTTGAATAAATTCTAATCGGTAAGCTTTTGTAACTAAGTTCTCTCAATGATGTAGAAGTTGTTCGAAAAGACACAAGGAAAATTGGTGTAGCACGAGAAAGTGGATTGATAGTGTATTTCACTTCACCATTTGGTAATATCCTAGGTCAAATTTGAGAATTGATGCCAAAGGTATACGTCTTCGGAACATACAATACTGCTTCCTTTCTCTACAATACACACTAATAAGTCTTCATGGCTTTCTCGATACTCAAATTGCTCTTACAATGGAAAATTAACTCGTGCTTCAATTCTAATGTTTGTCGGTGGAAGTGACCATAAAGATGAACAGTCGAGAATGTTCTTGTTGCCTAGATGGTAAAATAATTAATACAACTGCGAGTTTACTGTCCTCCTAAAAGGCTTGCTCCTAAGTTTCCATGATTTAAATTTCTTCGACTCAGGTAGTTGCTGTTAATCAGTCTATCAGTCGCGTTGCTAATTAACGCATTTATGATACTTTTAATATTTTGATATTGTTCGTTACCCTGAAACTGTAAACCGGCGTTCTGGCATAAAGGTATCACTCTCAAATACTAGTACTTGTGTCCAGTATCAGAAATCATATCGTCTGAATACTGGTTGACAGCTTTTGGATATCGGACATTGTCGTCAATTAGTAGCGCCACTACAGGCTGATTACAGGTTAGAGCCCACTCGGGTGGATGGTTTCGGATGATTGGTAATGATTTGGTCCTATGAGTTGGTTTTGTTGATTCTAGGGAAAATTAGTTACTGCTTCTGGGATTTCTGCTACCCGAAGGTATAACAACCCATACTCATCAAAATGACGAGTACAACATTGAAAGGAATTTGGGAACTAGTGTTGGTTGAAGTGTTCTAAGGTATGAATGGAAATTGCTAATAATTTACTTCGAAATGAAATTTAACGGAGTAGAATTTTCCTCCTAAAGATCCGAAATTATACTTATGCTCGAAGGATTAATATAGTCGGGAACCAAAGGTGATTGTTCCCTATATGTTCTTCCATCGAGTGCTAGCACTTTAGCACCACATTATCAATTAAGACATTTCTAGAAATTTTGACGGAAGTAAAATTTCGTAGGAATTCTAATAGGTGATATACTAATGGGTACTGCCAATGAATCAAAACTAATTGTAGCTTCCTATCTCGAAAGGTTTGTTAATGATATGGCGGAAGAATAGTGATGGGATTGATAGGTAAATCTTCGATGGTGCACAATTACCAATACATTAGCCCTGTGTCAAAGCCAACAACTCATTTCAAATTGAACTTTCCTTGGTAGGCGATTTCTTCATTCAATGTCTAAAGGCATCCGCCAAAACAATGTTTTAGAATGTCAATAAGTCCCCTAAATTACTCAAAACTTAGAAAAAGATAACACATTTTTCATGCTTGACGAGGTGGCAAGGTTCAAAAATTAGGCTTAAGAACTGAGAATGCTATCACGCGTGTGATGAACGCAACACTGCCCAAACTTATGCTCTGATACCAAACTGACATATCCCAACCCGGAATGTCCACCTCGACTCCGAATCAAGTTGTGCTGGCCGACACCAAAAAGGTGACGAAGCCATAAAGTGTAGTGATGTGAAAAATGTAAGTAAATTTAAACCTAAAAGTGCCTAAGTATAAGAGTGCGCTTGTGAGCAGGAATGAACACATTTCACACGTGATGTCAAAGCATAAGTAAAGTACAGTATAATGCATTGAGAATTATACCATTGAAGGTAATCTCCAATATCAAGATTTTCCACGAATCCTCGTCAATACGAAAGCTCAGCTACTGAAACCTGGAGGGGCGAAAAACAAGGGTGAATAGGCCTAAAAATAAAGCTTTGTAAAAGCCTTTTCGAAAACATAATAATCCCTCGCTGTAAAACAAGTATAGTTTCCAAAAATATACATACAACGTATGGTAAGAAAATACTTACCTTAGCCTGCAATATCTCAAGAATTCATTACGACACAATATCTCATAAATAAGCTCATGACGTCCATAATCACATAATCTCACATAGGCAAACATTTCATATCGAGTGCTCATCGACACATTCTGACACACGAGTTCATACAAAGGTATTCTGACATGAACATGACTGGGTGTAACAATGATATATGCTCTAGTACTATAATCACATAAAGACTAGCGCTATGCGCATCACATATGAGTTATAATTGCCTACATCAATCTAGGATAGGACTGTCACCTACAATGAATCCAAAGTGAGCGTACGGTACGATGTGCACATACACGTGAAAGACTAGTCCTGGCTCAGGCAAGTACTAACACCGGTGCAGTAAACGATAAGCAGATAACATAAATATGGTCGTGCCACAATAATTCAATAATTCACATCGACATAATAGTAATAAATAAGATATTACTCATGGCCGTAATTAAAACCACATAAAAGTATGCATACCTATGCATCTCGTGGGATTTTTGATAATTTTGTAATTTTCCGTTATTTCACTAATTTTTATAAGCATTAGTCTAATCTAGGAATGCGTAGGAAATTCATTGTAAAATATATAATTGGAAACTAAATAATATGTAATATTTAAAATTAAAGACCAACTCATAGATCATGTGTTTGAGTCGAACCCGCCTCGTAACATCAAGAGTCCTTGTGATGCATTTCGCCTAGAAACAAAACCATTTTTGTAAATACGTAACATACTAACATATAAACGCGTTTTTGTACAAAATACGGCTAGTAAAGAAACTATTTAAAATGGTTGAATTTCAGAAAACGAAGGGCGGATTCGGGTCTGGCACTTCGAGAAACCTAAAGAGGGACCTTAGGCTCCTCCACACACCGCCACTACGAGGTGGCTGCATTGGCACCCATGCTGCCACTTGCAGTGGCTCCCTCACATGCGCCCATGCACCTGCGAGTACGATGGTACTTGCCTTCCTCGCGAGGCCAAAATTTTCCCATATTTTCTTCCTAACTTTCAAAGCTAATTTCTAGCTTGATACTTAACCAAATTCTATGATTCAAAATATATTTTGAAGTTAGAAATGTAGAGAAAGCAAATTTCTAGCTCGATAGTTAACCAAATTTGATGGTTCAAAAGTCATTTTCAAGTTAGAAATGTAGAGAACATGCCTATACCTACTGGAAGCTTAATCGTGGTTTGTGTTGACAAAAATTTTGTTTGAAAATGGTCGGATGGCCACGGACCCAAATTTTCTAGAAATCTGGAAAATCATCCTCTATATCTAAACAGCTTCTAACCCTAACAAAAAGCATCCAAACCTTGAGATCGTTCATTGACAATGAGAAGGGTAAGTGGGAAGAGATGTCCTAATGCTTACCTTGGTCAGGATTCATGGAATCTCGTCGGGAATCCATATCCAAAACAGAGCTCCATTTGAGCTCGAAGGCTCGATTCCAGTAACCCAAACTTGGGGTTAAGTTCGTAAGGATGAGCTAATAATAGTCCGGTGGTGTGATGGTCTAGAGTTCGTCGGTATGGCGAAAGGTTTGTGTGGTGGTGGTGTCTCGGTGGTGATTCACCAAGGGAGAGAGAGATGAGAGATGAGAGGGAGAGAGCTGAGAGGGTTAGGGGAAGAAGGTGAGGTGGCAACCATTGAGTGGTGAAGCGAGGTGAGGGACTTTTGAAAAAATTTAAGAGAGGGTGAGGTCCAAGAGATAGGGGACACGGGGGAATGGGGAGAGAATGGATTGTGGGCCCCACTACTGCACAATGTAATGTCACAAAAGACAAAATAGAAAATATCCACGCGACATGAAATTACCAAAATACCCTTCACGTTCGTAGTTCTATAAAATTTTACCCGTAACTCCAAATCCGCTTCTGCTTGTGCCTACGCGTTCGTAACGTCAAGAACTTCAAGAATACGATAAAATAATAGCTCATATGCGTCATATAATGGCGGTCAATGAAAGTCAACAATCCTTCCACTAGGGGTGTTTTTCGTCAATTCATAATTTTTAAAAATTTATAAAATCTTAGAATTAGGGACGGGTTATCACATATAAAGCTCCCAAAAAAACATATTTGATACGTATATTTCTTCTTGGTTCATATTCAGTACGTTACTTTATATATCTTCTTGGTACATATTTGGTATATTCGTATTTCTTTTTCGTATGCATTTGGTACATTGATATATTTTCCGGTACATTTATATTTATTTAAAAAAAAAAATTTAGTACGTTACTTTATATATCTTCTTGGTACGTTTATATATTATCGGTATGTTTATATTTATTTTCAACAAAAAAAAAAAAAGAAAAAAGAAAAAGATCAAAGAAAAAACTGAAAGATACAATGAAGAACAGATTTTTGTATACTCCTAATCCAGACATATACGAATTACAATTCAATATAAGTCTCTAACTCCTTATCCGTACTAAACTAAACTATAACAACAATATCACAGCAAGATTATATTGCAGCAGCAAGCATAGTTGAGGCTTCTTTGGTTGATCACAAACAACTCGGGGCAATTTTTGCTCTTTGACTTCCTCCAAGTTTTTTGCCATTTTTTTTGTTTTTCTTTTTCCAGATACGTAGCTGCAAAAAATGGGGCAACTTCAGGAGGGATTCCAATGTTCCAACGCCATTCCAAATAGAAAGAGAGTGCCTACAAAACCTGAAAAATTAATGGGATACATATCATCTTTCTTTGCAATTTGGAAAACTAATGACATACATATCATCTTTATCCTTGAATTTCAAAATTCAAAAAATATGTCCCCCAAAAAATTGCCGAATAAAAAACCCTCTCCACTAGCTTCTTGATAAAACCTGAAACAGTATAGAATCTTGATGAAACCTGCTCAACGTAACAACATCAAGCTGCCGAAAGCAGAGAGTGAAACAATAGAATAATCGATCACATATACATCTAATTATCTCAAATGATAACAAGATGAAATTGTGAAAACAACCACTAATTGAATTGGATAAACCCATTCAAGATTCAAAAATGGAGATCACAAAATCAAACGTGGGAGAAGAAATCCACATTCTCATCAAATTCAACAAACCAGAAACTATTTCCTAAAATAAAGGACATGTACAAAGAAATATCAGCGTAAAATGATATATTTGGAATTCAATAATTAACATTTTAATTTAAAAAAATACAATAATGATATGTAATTTAAGTAAATATAAAAATGCTAACGTGGCTATTGTTTAAGGCGGCTTAATTAAATCTTAAAATAGAATCAATGTTTGATCTAAAAAGTATTAAAAAAATGCTAAGGATCCTAATTTTCTGTTTGCATTTACAAAAACTCTAGATAATACAAGTCTAAGTAGTAATGGGATGAGATTAAAATGGTGGATAGATCCCAAATTTGACACTTGCAACAAAACGATTTAGTTGCACGATTGTCTCCATAAATATGGTATATAAAACTAACTCTTCAATTTACACCATTGCCAAATTGAATTAATTTTACCAATATATTTGTAGTGAGTCCAACTCGACAAGCCCGTGCGCTGGACCATCACTGATTTGCTGTTAGTTACTGATATCTCAAATCACTTAAAAATTTTAAGTACGACGGTAACTTTATGATTTTATCAATATTTTAACTACTTGACATGCAAAATGCCAAAATCCCTAATAATATTTGTGTATGTGATTTGGTGTTCTAACAATATGTGTCACATGGTATTACTAATCCGACTTACATGATGTTACTAATCCGACTTAATAATAATCTATTCAAAGATCCTTGAAAATGTCAACAACAAGAAAAAGAAATAAAAAAAAAATAAAAACTTGTGGTGATTTGTGAAAACAGAGGAAAAAAGCGCGGTCAACGAAACGGCGCAACACAAGCAAATGCATCCCTTTCGGAGCTGACGTTGCGTTATTTAACAGACGCCGTGTGGGCCACCGCCGAGTTCTCACGTGCGGCGGATTAGGTTAACCAGACAGAATGTGTTTTTTGTTTGTTTGTTCCTTCTGCCTTCCAGCACCTTTGCTGCTTGTTTTGTTTATCCCCACGTATTACTTATTGACTTTCTCTTTGACTATTATTTTGTTTTACAATCCCCATAAATTAAAAAAATTGCTCGCCTAATTAGTTGGTAGATTAATATTAATAATAATTACTAGGAATAAGTAATACCTCACTTTGTGGCGTCAAATATTGAGACAATTAATTTACTTTCATGTTTTAATTAGTTAAGTTAAGATTGTTTTTGAAATCTGAACTCTGGTAATACTGTGATAAATAAGGCTTCTTCTTGTTTGGTTATTAATATAATCTCTGAGAATTTGTTGTCGTGTAAAACATTTGATTTCAATTAACAAATGAGAGGATTATGAGAAGAATTAGGTCAAAATCCACTTGAAAATTGGTGATTAGACCCTTGACCAACTCCTTTCCTTAGTCATGCACAAAACTAATTAAACCCATCTTTTTCTCTGTGATGCGAAGCCGCCTCTTTCAAAATATACTAGTTTTGGGACAAAAGTTCGGGATCCTTTTCTCATTGGCGAAAATGTGGAATGTACAATCATGCACTCTTTGAAAATCTCGATTTAGTTGATCAAACATCAGTACATCGGTGTATTGTAGAAATTCTTTGGTTGGCAATGACATTTGAGTATTTGAATAGGGAGAGAATTCAATCCCCTTACATGTTTATACGCTTTTAACTCTATCTCTCACTCATGAGGAGGCATATTGTATTTATGAGTATATAATGATGCAGATTCTCCCTTGAAGAGAAGGGGATTCAAAATCAATTCAAGAAAGTACAAAACGCCTAAAAACTAATGTGTGACTACAATTCTACATAACATTCAATACTACAAATGTTTTAGCTGTTAGATTTGATTTCCCCAACTGTTTTAACTCAACCAATCATTTTTCATACCACTCAAAGCTACGAAACATCGAAAATAATATTGTAATAAGTAAGCATCTTATAATCTTGATCCATCAAGTAGGAAGTATATACTTGCAATTTGTGATGCCTACATTACATCTTCAATGGATTAGGTATTAACATAAGAAGGGAAAATACAAACAAAAAAACGCTTCCAAGTAAGAAAGGCCAAGCAAATGAGCCAAAACAGAGTTTGCTTTCTACACAAATTTGATGTACATTTTCCACTTAATTTAAACTGCCTTCTTAGAAGACTTCATTCATTTGTAAAGCCTTATAAACACATGTACCAAATCCTACAAACAGGATCTGGCTGCAAAGAAGCAACCTCAAAGAAAAAAAAAAGACAACCAACAAACTGATGAAGGCTCAAAAATTGAATCAGAGCGGCTTCTCCGACAACTTCAAGAGCGGTAAAAGGTCAGCATGGCGAACAAAGGATTTATCCCCGGCTGTACAATTGAATCGAGGCTTAATTCTTTCTTTACATTCCTACGTTGTTGCTGCCTGAATCTATTAGAATCGTCAATCTCCTTGCCGTTTTCATGAAGTCACTGCAACTTCAACAATAATTTGATCAATATATTACCTTACTAACCACTCATTTGATAATTAAAAGGACAAGGACCTCCGTCCTTCGGAGCCATTACACGATTCAATGGGAATTGTCCGTACCTGAAAGGTTCATCTCCAATGTGTTTAACTGCACCAGTACCATCTCGATAGAGCACATGGTTCAGTGTCTCAGAATTGTCTATGCCAAACATATCTGCCAGTTTTCTGTACAATTCATCATAAGACCCCAGAAGTGAAAGGTCAAGAGTGCGACCTACGTCTTCTGATTCCATGAAGACTTTACAGTGACCAGTTTCCAGACTTAGTTCGGTTTCATTTCGAGTATCCTTGTACCATTGGAAACCTTCACAAGATGAGCGCTCTTGTACACTTTGTCGGTGAAGTGCAGATCCAGAATTATCAGAATGATTTACCATTCTATCTGCATTCCCATCGGATGAACTATTTCCAGTAAGAACTGGTGAGACTGTATCGCCAGAGCTGCTCAGAGAGATCTGCTGCTCAGTAAGTATTGGCTGACCAAAGAGTATGAGCTGCGGTGGCTTTAAATCATCAGGTTTCTTTGACGTCGGGGTAAAATGTGACATAGTCAATAAGCATGAAACATTCTCGCTTATAGTAGGCTTATGAATCACCATGTTATTGGTGAATTTAGTGGGTGCAGCAGCATGATCAAGTGGCGGGAAACCAGCCGGAAATAGACCTGTGTGCAGTTTATTGAGGTGCATATCTGATGAGGATAGACCATAATGAGCATGCCTGGCTCCCTGCATGCCAGCAGGAGTTTTGTCGGGCAGACAACCAAAGGGGCTGCTGGGTCCAAGGAGGTTGCCGGAAAAAGTCGGCATTGGAAGTTGGCCTTCAAAAGGGAAATCTGGGTATTGAGGTAGTCTCATCTTCTTTCTTGGCAGTGAGAAAGGTGTCAGATGGATCGTGGGCATGTTGGATACCAACTCTACCAACCATGGGCTAACGCGTTTCACATTTTGAAGTAAATCGGGTTCATCCCAGGTAACCTGCAACACAAGATTTCAGAAAACCAAAGGAAATTAAAGAGAAAAACACTCCTACTGTGTGTTCAAAGTACCCAACAGTCCCAACCGTACTATGGAAATGAACTTCTTGAATGTTTAGCTGCCAAAAACCATGGCTCTTCCCAGATGTAATTGGCCAGGAAAGAGCACAATTGATCAAAATTAGCTAGTAGGTATAGAGTAGAAAATGAAAACTGAACCTGGAACACCAAAGAAATTGCAACTACGAAAGTATAAACAGGAACCTAAAAACTACTAAGCTCGAATAAACGCAGATTATACTGTAACAGAGTAATCATATGGCGAAGTGAATTGAAAGGAGTTGAGAAAAGAAATGCAAATGAAGATCAAAGAACCAATGTTTTATGGCACAGTATGCAGATTGTGCTTCGTAATTCTGATCGGAAAATTGTCGATGAAACATAATGTGCTCAGACTAAGAAAATCAGGCCTACTAGGGAAGATAGATAAAGTAAATTAAAAATTATAAACGAAACTAGAGCACGATAATTACAGAGTAGTAGTACCTGGAGAAGCCTCCAAGGTGACTCGGGCCAGCGCAAAGGCTCAGCAACCTGAACAGAGGATATAGTTCCCATGAACCAACTTATCCGGGAAGAATCCTCAGTTTCAAAGGCCATCTTGAATCGCATTCCAGGGCACCACCGGATCTGCAATGCTGCTTTCACCAATGAGGCCTTCACACAGAATTCTGGGGTACTTGCTCTAGGGTAGTAAACAACCTCAAAGGGCTGTCCATTTGCAGCAAGTGTTGCAGCTTCAGAAACAGATTCAGGCCCGACTTTCCCCTTACCCACTAGACTTCCATTCGAATTAGAGCTATTACCATTGCCATTTCTCATTAGTTTGTTCTCATCCTCCCTCAAAAACGCCGAGAATCCACCATATGGCACAGTACAATTCCCACCCATTGGATTCCACCCTGAAGATGACTCTGGTCCACTTCCACTTCCCCTCTTTGCTCGACGAATCCCGACACAGAGATCACCATTCTCTGCCCTCAAAAACACAATTGAGTCCCCAGAAACAAGCTTCTTGTGGTTCACAAAGGTACTCCACCCCGTGGTCAATAGATGCCGCCTAGGGGTCCCCCTGTAAATGTGCTTAAACTTCCAAGTTTCACCATGAACATCCTTAGCAAGAATTGTCTGAACAGGGGGATCGGCAGAGTAATCCAATCGCGGAAAGATGGTTTCTGCACAATATCTCGGAACAGAGAACCCACCACCATTGTTTGCATCGGATTGCGTCAATGTTTTTGCAAATGAGGCGGGTTTATCCGGCGTTTCAGACCCATTAAGCCCTCCAATTCCATCATCCTCGTAGCCCGCCTCGCCCCCGTTCAAAGGAACCAACCTAATCTTGGCATAAACCTCATCAGTCTCAGGATCCGCCATGAACTTAATGGCGGCAACCTGGCAAAGTATATAGGGAGGAACTCTTGGACAATTCCTGAAATCAACAGGTCCACAGGCATGCTCAGCATGGCCCTGAGGGAAGTAGAAGACCTTCGCATTCACCAGTGGCATTTGAACCATGCCGCCGGCGCAGGCATGCCATAGCTGTGGATCTAAGCACCTATCCACCTCCTTCAATTTCTCTTTTGAATCCATAAACGTAATCATATCAACTCTTCAAATAAATAAACAAAATTTGCAAAACCCTTTTCTTCCTGCTCTCAGTAAATGCTGCAAACCACATTAACCACACAAATTAGGCATCCTACTCACAGAATTCAATCAAACCATACAAACAACAACAATACAGAAACAATCAATCTAATAAATGAACTGCATTTCATAAATTTCTTACCTTATAAAGAAGGCATGAATTCGAACCCGAAAAGCTTCTTTCTTGCCACGTTTTCTCTAAGAAATATTCACAAAATCAAATTTTCCCAACAACCAAACTTGGACTTCAAAATTCAAATCCTTTTTTTTTTTTTTTCCTTAAATCAGAAAAATCAGAGGGGTTCAATTGCTCTGGCACGCCATTAAACCCACCTACAAAACCCTAATCACAAGCAGCTTCAATTCAACACTGAATTCCCAATACCCAAACCCTAATCTCTTTCCTGACTGAATCAGTCTAAACCCACCAGTTTTTTTTCAGCCAAAAATCCCAAAAAACAAAAACTCAGACTAAAAAACTGGAGAAGCACTCTACTCTTCTGGAAATTCCAATCCCCAGAGCCCTCAGAAGCTCAGCGGTCGGAGAAAAATTGAAGATCTGCGGCGAAGGTCGAGGCACTACTTTCCAAGTCCGGCGAAAATCGAGAGCCCGGAGCTCCTCCCGAGCAGCCGGGAAGTTCACAGAAGAAAAAGCCTCCGACGGAAAAGAGGAAGGAGAATCGTCGGCGTCGAAAATCTTTCAGGAATCTTCGTCGTCTTTGTTGGTTTGAGAGATTTCAATCACCAACGACTGTTTGGCCAACACAGAAGAAGATAAAAAACCATAGACACAGAGAGAGAGAGAGACAGAAGGAGGAGAGAGAGGGAGAGAGAACAGAGCAACCTTTCGGATTCTGCAACAGTCCAAAAGCTCACTCAGCAAATAAAACACCAAAAACAAATAAAATAAATAAATGAAAATATATAAACACAAAAGTTGCAACTGTTACTAACTTGCTGCAAATGTGAAGCGGTTGTAGTCAGTGTCACTGTTCTTGTCAAAAGCATTTACCACGATTGGTAAATTCAATAAAAAATATTTTGCCCTTTTCAAACTTACCTGCCGTATTCCGGCGGTGCGCCTCACGGATGGCGTGGTGTGTCGAATTTACTCGGTAGCGTATGAACGTATACTTGGACTGGATTTTACCGCGTAAAATTTGACCTATAGGCATCGTTGTATTAGTGTGCTTGGTTTGGTGGTAACTATTTAGAATTTAACATTTAGATATTGGGATTATCATGCGCTATATATGATATGTTTTATGCATAATATCATCATGCCACGTTGAATAACTCGCAAGTAAGATTTAACTAAAAAATGACATGTTTATGTGCTAGTATGTGAGACATAATCAATGACTTTTACTCGTGTACCGTATACTTGGTCTAATATCTCGCACTTGGAATTTGGTGCTATAACATCAACGTTAAGACGTGTCTATATGTGATGGGTTTCATTCATCCATTACATAATCATGACACGTTGTATCGCTCGCATATTAAATTTATCTAAAAAGTGACATGATAACGTGGTTTGTTGGACGCACTTATTTGGTAACTTTTACACGTAAATTCGATTTGAAATTCACTATTTAAAATTTGACATTTCGACTATCAGTTATGATGACCGTGTGTAAGCAGCGTGTTTTACGTGTTGTATCAATACACCATGTTCAAATATACTAAAATATTACAATATTTCTCGTATGCGAATTCAATCTCGTTTTTATTATTTCCTAAGAATATGTGTTGTTAGATTGATTAAATTGTTTTCAGTCTAAGACTCTACCAACAGTATCAAGTGAATAGTAAATAATTACCTTATATATTTTTGTTGGAGCAAAGCTAGCAAAATTAAAATCAAATTTTTAATATAATTTTATATTTGTTACCTTTTTCTTCGGATCTGAAGAAACAGTGTGTATCTTGGGAAGCCAGCAAAACAACAAAGATTTAAGGAAACCATACTTTTATAATCTTTCCTCTTATTCTATTCCCACCAATTAATTACTATTTTTTTAATTCCGCTCCGACTAATCAAACAGTGAGCGATTATTTTAAGCGTTTTAATAATTTTTTGTGATTAGAAGGGCATGGATTTCCGTGTCCCGCGAGAAATTCGAATCCAAAGTCTCGCGAGTGTGGGTTAAGTGTTCGCCTTGCAGTTTGTTTTGCTCTAAAATCAAGGCAAGGCACTTGTTCACACCTAACCATGGTTAGAGTCCAAACTCCATCTATGATCAAAGGTTGCAATTTCGTTTAGTCAATGACACACGTTACTTGTTTATTTTTGGGTAAATTTCAGTTTACTATCCTTAAGTTTCGTGGTTTTTAACATTTGGTACATGAAGTTTTTTTTGTCTCAGAGTCATACCTAAAGTGTTAATTTTGGGACAGTCTCATACATCCGTTAGTTTGACTGTTAAGTTTTCCGTTAACTGATGATGTGGTGCCTAAGTGGACAACGACTAGGCGCCACATGTCAATAAGAGTCCCACATGGATATTAAAAATTACAAAAATTACAAAATTACATAAAAAAAATAAAAATAAAATTAAAAAAAAAAAAGTCGTTCTTCATCAACCCCCAACTGTCCCTCCCTTCTTGACCACCACCCATATATGCAAATTCAAAATGTCAGTCGACATCGCCCAACCAGTCTCTACCCCTCGCCGCACCCCACACACCCAACAATCCACTTAATCCACCCACCCAACTTTTGTAACCGCCTACTCATTTGAACATCTTCTTCTTCTCCCTCCCTTCTCTAACCCTCCTCTGCACACCCTCTCCACACACCATCTCCACTTCATAGCTTATGGGCCACTTTGCTTTGCCAAAGAGTTACTGAGTCGGAACCTCGAACTCGCCGCCGAGCTGGACTCTCATGGCTCTTCGCCTCTTCACCTGGCGGCGAAAAAGGGTCAGTGGAGATGGTGAAAATCTGGTGCGGGTCAACCCAGATCTGGGTTTGGTGTTGGATTGTGATAAGTTCACTCCCTTACATCTGGGTGTGATCAAGGGGCAAGCTGGCTGAGTTGGCCTGAGTTAGATCACGCGGTGACTTGGGTTTTGACTTAGGGAGGTGAAGGTGGGTTCCACTTATGTGTGAAACATCACAAGCTGGAGGTGTTGAAGGTTTTGGTGGAATGTATAGGGAAAGGGAATTGAGGGTGGGTGTGCGGAGGAGAGAATGGAGGGAGAATTGAGTATTGAACTCATCATCCATTAGAACCGAACTAGATTCATTTCACTTACAAATGAAGAAGAATAATATTAAACTATACTCAAGGGTGCAAGTTGGAATGGGTTAAAATTTTCGAATCTGAACGTGAAAATTGTGGATCTGAATATTTTTTGAAAATTAGGAACGAAATCAAAATGCATTTAGCCATTTCAATAACTCATTGAAACCTCGTTCTATTGAGATAGGCGTAGTGGAATTTACCTCTTGGTATGGGTTGCCCTCTAGTTGGATATCCACGTTGAACATCCCAAATTTTCCATCTAAATTTTTTAAAATTGTTCCGAACTTATTCTGATTAAAAATATTCCTCAAAAAATTATAATTTCTTATTGTTACGTACTCAAATTTTGTATTTTGTTATCAACTTTTGTATTTTAGTGTTAGTTTTAGATATATTTTGTTCAATGCTTTTATATTAAATATACTTCTATATGTTAAAATCTATAATCATACTGGTTTGGTAATAAAAAAGCAAGAATATTAAAAAACTTGTAAAATACATGAATTTCTGAATTATGTTATAAAATTTCCGAGTCACTCCGATTCTGAAACTTTCTAAAATCAAACATGAAATTGGTACCAGGTGGAATACCGTACAATAAAAACTTAGAAGCAACTGTACTGACTAGTCAAATGAACTAGTCAACTAAGTACATGTTGTTAGATAGCCACAGGCATATAAACCAAGTAAACTAATAATGCTAAAGCAAGACGAATGAACTCCAGTTATTGTTTTAGCCTTTGTTCTTAAGTTAAGTTTACTTAGTTAACAAAGTGTCAATACTAGCACACCCTATAAAGTTTAACTCTAACGATGATTATTTGGACATAAAGGTAACTTGCAAAGTATTGAACACAAGAAAGTTTTTGGCCGGAAAAACCCATCTCTGGGTTAAAAAACGGGGGACTCTCCACTGAGTTCAATCCACTAGTGTAAACAACAGTTCATACAAAGATCCACACAAATCTCAATTCCTAAACCTTATCTAAGGAGCAGCTTTACCTTTGTGCAACCTTGCCTTACACGAGATGGACTCCTTCGGTCTTCACGAAGTGCCATCTCCTCCTGAGCTCATCACCTTGTGGCACCGAGATCAACACGATCAATGAAATGAAATGATGTTATGATGTGCTCATGAAATGAGGATTCAACGACTAGTCAAGTTCTCTAGTCAAACAGTTGAAGAAGAACCTAACATGAATTCAAATGCTTAGTCTAAGAAAGATATGAAACTTTGAAGATTAGACTAAGAACTTAACACAAAACCATGAATACAATGCAACCCTAATATGCAATGATTGGGTATTTGTGCATGAGATAGTTTTGTAGCTAGGGTTTCGGTTTGGAAGCTTTAAGAGGTAGCTCTAGACTAAATGCACTATTTTCTTGAAAATGGAAAATCCTAACCAAAACCAAATAAGACCATGAAAACCCTTATAATGGAATATATGGATGTTTCAGACAAAGGAACAAGGAGACATGTGCCATGAGCCAAAAAGACATTTCCAGATCAAGGTTGAGAGATCAATGCACGGGAAAAAGTGTCAAATGGCCCATGTGTGCTATCCTTATTTTGTGTGCCCAGAAAGTTGGAAAAACAGATGAAAATTCTGACTAAACGACTACACTAGACAAAAAGATTCTGGAAAAATAAGCTTGACTTGCATATGCAAATGTATGATTCAAACCTTTTATAGTGAAGATGGTTGGTGCTTTGACGAATTAATTCCAGCAAAAATCCCATATCAGCATTGTACCTTAACTCTAAATTATGAGTATGTGTGGTAACATTTACAATTTTTTGACAAGAGAAGCCAAATAATAAACCTAGTATTTAACAGAATATACAGTATGACTTTGAAATTTTGGGTAAGAAATATAATACGTAATTTTCAATCCAATTCTTCCGAAAAACACCCCTAACCGTACTACCTTGACAGACAAACACTGAGCTGTTGAATTTGGTTAAATCAACAACCAAGACTAGTGAACCTAAACATTGCTAAATTGCATATGTGTGCGCAACCAAGCTGTTAAAGTGCATCTCCACTAAATACTCAGGTTCGAATTATTCTTCTTATATTTAACTATTATTTTATATGCAAGCGATATTGATAAATTATAACACAAGGCCTCGTTTTAATGTGTAATTTAGATTAAGTTACATTATCGCACTATTGAAAAGAACACTGCTAAATTGTCAAGAGATCTATTATTGGCACTCCAAAAATTTAATCGTGTGCACTGCTTATAAATTTTTTTTTTTTCAATTATAAAAAAGTTGGGGGTGCACAATTTCATATTTGAAGTGCTAACGTTGACAAGATACCTATTATTGACACTTCAAAAAATCTAATTGTGCACTACTCAAAAGAGAGCTACTGTGACATCCCACATCGCCCAGGGGAGTGATCCTTAAATGTATATTCCCATCCCTACCTAGCACGAGGCCTTTTGGGAGCTCACTGGCTTCGGGTTCCATGGGAACTCCGAAGTTAAGCGAGTAGCGCGGGAGAGCACTCCCAAGATGGGTGACCCATCGAGAAGTTCTCGTGTGAGTTCCCAGAAACAAAACCGTGAGGGCGTGGTCGAGGCCCAGAGCGGACAATATCGTGCTACGGTAGTGGAGCGAGCCCGGGACGT